GTATTATCTTGAAAGAATACAATTATTATTTTATTAGTTTGTATTTCAGGTATTCTAGCACGGACATGTCAAGTCGATTTTCTGAAGGAACCTTCTGGCTTATTCCCACGAGCACACGGTATGGGAATTTAAAGTCTGGGGCTTCGCTCTGCAAAAGCTTCGTACCTAGACCCACTGGAGTAGCAACCGGCTTACAGTTTGCCATTCCTCGCACCAGCAAGTCGTAGATAAAACCTCGCTGATGCATAGCTACTTTACCGTCCATTTACCGAAATTCAGCAGTGTTGACATCCCCCAGGTGCTTCACATCGAACTCTTTCGACAGAAGTTCATCGACTTCGGAGATCTATATGAAAAACACATTACGATGCAATTATCAATAAACAGCGGTTCCGAATTTTAAAGTCAAGTACAATTTTATTGTCCAGTTTTGTAAATGAATAAAATATATGTATATTTGTAAGCTACCGAGAATACTTTTTTACGATGCCACAAAAATATTGCGTACCAGGTTGTAAAAGGAACTACCTCTCTTCGAAAGAAACCTAGGTCAGTACGCTTTCTTTCCCAAAAGATGAAATCAGGCGTATTCAGTGGCTTCGTGCTATACCTTGTAAAGACTGGACACCTTCATCTGGGGCTTGTGTGTGTATAAAAATCGACTTTGAACAATTCAATTTGCCTGATGGTGCAATTAATAATATGCAACTGCGATGTCCAAGATTATAAGAAAATCCTGTGGCCCATTTTTTTAACGAAGGTAAGCTGCCTAAGTATCTGTCTTCGGTATTAAAACACCAAGGGGAAACACAGAAGAGGAAAAATGCCATTTTTCAAGAAGCAACAAGACGCCATTAAAACTTTGATCGGCCCTCCGATTGACTTTGGACAACGTTGCCAAACTTCTCAGCATGGCTTGTAATCATAGACGGCTGTGGTTCTCCGTAGTCCAGTCCCGCTGTATTCGACTGCAGTCATTAGATGGCTTGTTGAATCGTTTCAAAATTGGCGAATCTTGTGAGTATTGTTTTTTTTAAAATTCATACTATATTAATATCTAGTTCAAGCTCTTTGTATGCAAACAGGCGAAAAAGAAAAGCGGGACAGGATAAACGTTTAATGGGGCACATTAGCCATCTCCAAAACAAATCTCTCTTTTCTTAGTGTTTAGCTTAAGTTGTCCTTCTCGGTAGCAGACAATTGTCGCCAAGGAGCTGATGTTTGCTTCTGATCAAGGCGTCACATGCTCGGTACTCGGTAGATCACCTGCCTCGCGACAGCCACAGACAACACATTATACATTTTAATTTTATAGAAGTATATCAGTTATACCATTTTATTTTAAAATAGCAATTGTTAGTGATGTACATCCAATTTTTATGTCCGAATTTAATTTATAATTACGTATATTACATGCAGAAATAACGGGCGATCAAAAATGAGTCGCTTTTTAAGTACGATTTCTCATTGTAAAAAAAAATTCCAAAGATGATTCGACAGCAACTCATTTTTGATCGCATGGTATATGACAACTATGGGTTATAATAATTTTTATGTTTAGAGGGCAACTTTACAATAAATTCATTTATAACACAAAAGTATTCAGCATGCTTTTTTCACACACTTTTGATATTGATTTGTTATATCATTGTTGTTATTGTTTTGGTCCTTAGCATTTGTCATAGGTAAAAAATACAAAAAGGTTCGAGTTTGGTATATCAAGTAGTTACCGTCGATTTCTGTAATGTAAGTTTAAATAATCATTGTAATTAAATACTGTGTCACTTTTGTCAGATTTGGTATAAATTTAGTTATTTTTATAAAATTAATACTATTATTAATAAAGAATATTTACCGTTTAAGTAAATTGTTAAATTACGTACTAACAGGTCGCTGTTAACTTTGCTTTTTAGTTTATCTATTTCACTTATAACACTTCTCGTTTATTTAAACATTTCAACTTACCATTTAGTACTGATCCCGTGGATGAATATTATAAAACCTTGTAAAACATATCAAAGTCAAAGTTTTATTTAGCCACTAATCACTACAGATAATATAGGTGACCTAAAATAATTCATACGCACAGTTTCTATATCTATAACCTGTAGTTTCTTATACGTTTCCACAATTTATTTATAACGAAAATTGGCTCGAATTATATCCATCATATCCAAAAGCACAAAAGATATCAACTGTAATACAGAATTTACGATATTCCAAGACCCCGGCAAGCTATTAAAATAGTTGTTTTTTTTACGTTTATTTATTAGACAATGTAATGTAGAATTTCTACGGAATTTATTTGAATGCTTTTTTCTTTAATATATTTTCTCTATAGTTAAGACCATGCGATTTTTAATAACCATAGAAAAAGGGAAAAAGGGCCTTTATAGCTGTTACCAGCTATACAGGGAACATTGCAAAAAATGGCAAACAACAGTGGAGACCTGCTGGACCACTATTAAGTTCGTGGTGGCTGTGGGTCACCAAAACAAACATAGATAAATTACAGTCACATACAACAACCCGGTGGAGACCTAATAGTATAGGGTGGACACTTCTCATTAGCAGGTTTACCTTGGGATTTCGGGAATATTACTATTATTATTAAATGAATAATCGCCTCCAAATCAAATATGGAAGAAAAGAACCATACTATTCAGTCATCGCTATTTAAACATTATTCGAGTGTCCTATCCAAATAAAGAACGTTCGTATTAAAATTTACTTAAAAAAAGTTGTGACTACTTAACCATGCAATCTAAATTAGTATTTACGAAGAGAAAAAAGGCCGAAATTTTGAGTTTCGGTTGCACCTAATGGATTTAGCACTTTATTCGCGAAATGTAGGTATGCATTATTTCATATGCTTTTGAGGACGCGCTTTTATAATATTACATATTTAGTAGTAAGACTTGATTGGCTTACTGATGCTCTCGCCAGTACTATATGACTTTATCAAAGAGCTTTGTACAGAACCACATAATAGCGATTACTCGTGCAATCTACAAGATAATATCTAGATAATATAATGGTAGTACAAGGGTTTTAGCGAACTAAACGGATTCAATGAGCGAAATGAAAAATATATTAACAAACATATATTCGTAAAATTGATATTTCCTTTTACTTATTTATTATGTATTTAACCCAGGATTTAAATTTATATCTTGTTGAAATGAGCAATTGTATTTATTGCTCGATGTATTTACCTTAAACCTTTAAGTAATTTCTAAAGCAGATTAAAGCACCTTTATTTTATAGCATATATTAAATTGACAATTGAATTACGATATAAAATGACGTTCAGGACATATGGCAATGCTGTTTCCATCTGTTGCGTATCCGCGTATCGTATCATGTCACCATATCGTTTCATATCTGCAACGGCTTAACTTAGCGCAAGATTATAGATATCCGTATCAAAAGCCCGAACGGGGTGCTTACTGTGATACGAAGTAATGCAATAGTCCACATCATGCAACGATCGCAATTTATCCCGTCCAAATATGAAAAAATCCGTATCGTATCATCTCTTTGATTTTTCGGCAAAAAACGACATGTTGCGTATCTTTGTATCATATTTTGGAATTCAACGCTGCAACATTTCTACGTATCCACTGATACGCAACGAAGATACGATACGCGGATACGCAACAAATGGATACCCACCTTAAGATTGCTATTTTTTACGTCTACATTAAATTCAAAATAGTTTTGTATTATACACGACGATTAATCCTTAATATCGAACTCTACGTTGATATTCACCTGTTTTGCGATTATAATGAGCGATGTTTCTAGCGATAATTCAATTCATGAACTTTAAGTGATTTCCAAGAGTATACCAGATCTTTCTACGTCCTCGAAGGCCATTACACCAATCTTTGGCTATATGATAGGCCATTCACACCCTCTCTCCTATATCCATGCTATAGTAAAGCAATAAGAATAACGAGCCAGGCTTTCAGGCTTCATTTGAAGTTTAGTCCATACCGTGGGTGAGATCGTCTATGTGACATTCAGCAGTTCCGGTACAGGCTGGAATTATCTTGGAAAGAAGGGAGATAGATGTCGGGAATCATGACCATGACCAAGATCATGGAAAGAGGCCCAGCCGAATTGCAGATATACTCTAGATATGGCGTGGACCTGTACTCAATTGGGGACTTTTGAGTCACCCAAAATACGAAATGTGTGGGGCAAAGCATTCCATAATATTATATTGGAAGGCACGATCATTGCCGCACCGTTAATAGCAAAATACCAAGATTGGAGCAAATCTGCTATGATTGTGGAAATTCATCTTTACAAACAACTATTATATACCTGTCGTGATACATTTTTAATGAATGAGACTCCCCACAAACTGGCGTTGGAATCGATTTTAAAAGTTTCGATTCATGTCCGCAACCGTGCTTAATCCACGTGTAGTATGACATAACAAAAGATAATGTCGATGATCTAGGGAGAGATGCCCTTGAATACTCTTTGTAAATACCACGGTAATAATACCAGATGCTCAAATGTGGTTGAAGAGTCTCGGAATCCCATTCAGCAGCTACTTTACACAACTTGTTGGTAGCATGATCAACCACATCTTAATCACAACACGCTACGATTCAGCTTGTGGAATCCCAGTAGAATTTGGCGCTCCTGATCTTAGTAGTGTGACCTCGCCAAAGATTTGGTTTTACAATCTACTCGAATAGGTACCTTTACACCAGCCCGCTTTCATGCGAGTTTGGCATGTGCCGTCCCAATCGCAAAGGAAAGAACGTCAGTGTAGATGCGATGTAAGCGCGCAAGTTTGGAGCGTGTTTGTTACTGTAGGTTTATCGCGCGGTAAAAGAGTGTCAGTTTCGTTTACACTAAAAGTTCTCTCGCGTACGATTCTCATTCAGAGTTGTTCAAACTGTGCACTGTGCAATATGACGCAAGACTCAAGATACTGGTCGAAAGAGTTGGTAACCAGTTTCATTGAGATGTACCAATCTTATCCATTCTTATGGAAAATAAAGTCTAAAGATTACACCAATAAAAACCTAAAAAATGCTGGATATGACCAATTACTTGAACTTTGCAAAGGGGTGAATCCCCAAGCTAATCGGGATTATGTGATTAAAAAAATTCAAAGCTTCCGCGGGTCTTTTCGAAAGGAAATGAAAAAAGTTTTGGATTCTAAAAGGAGTGGAGCAGGAGAGGATGATGTTTATGTACCCACGCTGTGGTACTACGATTTATTATTGTTCACTGTGGATCAAGAAATGCCAACCCAGAGTATCAGCAATACTGATGAGGAAGAAGCGCTTACTGAGGAAATGACAGTGGGTGATACAGATAAAGAAAACGATCCATCTCAGGTAATTATAATGCAAATCATATACATATATTTTTCAGTATTTATTAAGCTTTTCCCTTTGCTAACATAGCATCTTGCCAATGAACTTTGCCTTCTGAATTGAAGTATTTCGTATACTTGTCACGGTTAGTTTTAGCGGCCACTGTGGAATTTTTTTGTCCAGCACTTTGTAAATTGGGAAGTTTTTCACCATCATTCCTCCAGTCACCCATGTGTACTTCATGATTTACCAAATCTTCTTGATCAAATGATGTGGGCGTTACATAAGAAGTTCCGCTTTTACTCAAGTAATTGTGTAGGGCACAAATAGCCAGAACAACGTAGTTTATGCGTTGTGGATCCGTGATATGTATAGCCGTATGCAAAATGCGGAAACGTGCAGCTAACAAGCCGAAAGCGTTCTCAGACACATTTCGCGCCCGGGATAATCTATAATTGTAAATTCACTTTTCATATGAAAGATCTCTTTGTGGGAACGGTTTCAAAAAATTTTCATGTAACGAACACGGTTCATCGCCTAGAAAAACAAAATTAAGCTTTCCCTTTGTTTCATCTTGATCCGGCAAATTTAGTTGTCCTGCATTAAATAACATGTATGTAATACATAAGTAATGTTTTAATATTGCTTTATAACAAATCTTTTTTACCTTCTATTAGTTTCCTATGAAATTCAGTATATTCCAGAACACCACCATCTGAAATTCTCCCATTTTTTCCAACATCTACGTAAATGAATTGGTAATCTGAGTTTACTAGAGCCATTAAAACAATACTATAAAAATTCTTATAATTATAATATTTGGCCCCTGTGTGAGGAGGAGGTACAATCCGTATATGCTTTCCATCGAAAGCTCCCCCGCAGTTTATAAATTGCCATTTACTTTCAAATCCTTGCGCAATGTTACACCATTCTTGTTTTGTTGTGGGAAACTGTAAAAAATAATACGGTTACCTTACCTTACAGGAATCAGCGGAATCAGCCCGATCTTCCACCACTAATGCAACATTACAAGCAAACTTAAGACAGTCAAAACCATGCGCACCCAAGCAAACCGGGAAGGCAAGTGCTAAGAAAAGGCATACTGACTTCATGGATTATTGCATGAAACAGTTAGAATCCAGTAATGATGTAGATGAATACGATGCAGTAGGGATTGCGTGGGGAAAGAAATTAAAGAGAATGGATCCAAGACAAGCAATTTACGCAGAAAGTTTAATAAATAAAATAATAATGGATGGAATGTTGAAAAAGTTGACGGAAACAACAAACATTTACGATGAAAGCAGATCATCTACATCGACACCATTTCCCGAATTTTCACCTTACACTGTATCATCAGACAACTCCTCTCCACAGTTAACAGTATCGAATATCGAATCTACATCTACACGATTTCCGCAATTTTCATCCTTCACTACTGTGTCATCAGAGAACTCTGCTCAACACTGTACATTATCTAATGTCGAAGAGACGGACCCATGCACAAGAACCTATTATCAGAACGTTGCAAACTTTTTGAAGTAATTCATAGATACTATGTACGAGTATTTAAGCATTTTATTAAGTTCAGAAATATTATATCTTTCATATACTTACCTTAAGATGTGTTTTTTTGAGAACTTGCCATATAGCTTTGCAAGTTTCGGGAATGATTTGACATAATGATGATGGCGAAATTCCAGTTGTAAATTTTAAGTCTTCAAACGAACGACCTGTAGCTAAATAGCGCAAAGTTGCTGTGAGCCTTTCTTCAGCACTTATACTTTCGCGCATAATTGTGTTCTCTTTCGATATTATAGGTGAAACTAACTCTAACAAGGCACTAAAGGTTGCCGAATCCATACGCAAGTAATTTTTGAAATCGTCAGGATAATTTTCGCGCAATTCTTTAATTAGCGGCATATGACCATGTATATTCCGATCTACCATCCATTTTTTGACCCAAATTTTTTTTTTATTTCCTGGATGCGACAAATACGCCACTGCCATGCAGAGCGCCACTTTCAATTTACGTTCTCTGTTATGTCTATACATCTTCTGTAGATCAAAATAACACTAAAACGACTAAAACCGTTTAGAAAGATTTTAGAAATTCTGAAACTCCACCCGACATGTTAATCCCGCGTGAAAGTTGACGTTTTTCGATTTACACTAACAGGTTTATCCCTTCACGTTCCGGAATGCGGGAAAGCATGTCGAACTGGAACGTTTAAATTTTAAGCTATAAACTCTTGGAACGCTACACTCTTGGAGCGCCACTGGCGTGCGAGATGTAAAGGTACCTAATAAGGTGGTCGTTGGACCAAACAAAATGGAATTCCTTGGACACATTGCATGAGGATTACGCCTACACTGTGACGAAGCGAAGATGCTTAGATTAGCACTATTCCCAGTATATCCCGTTAACAGCACGAAATTGTTCATTTCTAGAATGAAAGGCGGCCAATGAGTTGTTTCAGCTTTGAACTGGCCCATCTCATAAATTTCACTGACTACATGATTGTCAAGTACAAGTCCCAAGGTGGACGATACTTCATGCATGATGATAGAAATTAGTTACGCCATAAAACTTCAGATGAAGTTTATACAGTTAAAGTGTGTACTTGAACTTAGCTTTGTTTATTTAATTCGTTCAATATTCAATTGTTATTTAGGCATTATAGTATAGATTTTGGTCATTGTCACATGATTTGAAAATGACACGTGTGGAAATTATGTGCTAGTGAAAAATTGGGTTTCATTGAAGCATCCGTTTGGTTTGGTTTGCGGAAAATAATTGGAAGACTTCCTTGATGGCGCTTGGCGGGATGTAATCGATTGCTATTTCATCAATATCTGTGGATTGGAACCACGCGGCACGGTTGGTCGGAGAGATTACACATTATTCGTTTTCATCTACTTTCATTTGACTAATCCGCTTGTCCGCGAGTCCCTTTTAGATATGGCTGTTGTTTGTATCTTGGGGTGTATTTTACCGGAAGAACCGGTGGGACGAAAAAACCGTTGGGAGCTAGTTCAAGTTCCCGGAGGCGCATGAACTCCTCTTGGGGGTCGCCTGTGTCTGTGTAAGTTGCATTTGGGGGCCGTAACTTCAAGTTCAAGGATTACAGCCATTTCATTTTGCTCGCCAAACGTAGGGCATTGCAGTTATTTTTTGTGTATGCTCCTTTTTTGCCGGGATCATTACACACAGCATTTTATTTTGGCGCCCAGCGAGGGGGGGGGGGGGCTGCTGTTATTTTTTTTCTGTATGGTCCTTTTTGTCCAGGTTCATTACACATAGCAACATATTTATTGTTCGTGCAACCACATTTTCTTTTGGTATTTTTCGTTTACTTAGGTATAGTAGGTTCCGCCCAACGTGGAACCAGACTCGTGCCCACTGAGCGAAAAGGCGAGAAGAACGGGTGCGCTGTTGAAACATTCTAGGCGAAGGCCACACGGAGAAAAAGTGAGGTAGCATGGTAGCGCCAGGTATCTTCGTATTTGCTTATTATTATTCTGCATCGGCTATTAGACAAGTTAGCGTTGCACCGTGTCAACTCAAAAATTTTCGGATGATTGTAGTTGTAGCCCACTAATGCAATAGTAAGGTCACAATCAACGACTAAAGTGCAATTGGTCTCACTACTCACCTTCGGTTTTATATAGCAATCCAAACGGCCGAATCCATTAAAATTAAAATACGGAAATGCAATTGCCAACATTAAACAACTGATAAATGACTATTGATAAAAGTGAAAATATTGTAAATTGGATTGACACAACAGACCTAAAACGCCTGTTTTCATTACTTTATTGGAATTACATTAACAGTACACCATCACTTAAAACTTGCGGAACCAGAATCTAACTATGGTCTTTCAATGAAAAATATTAACTCTTCGTCAGGAACAGGACTAAAGGTTTAAGAAACATAATTCATGTAGGATATATAAGTAAAGAAACCCTCTATCCATGAATGTCTGAACCAGTGTTGCCAGGTCTACCGATTTTTCGGTAGATCTACCGACTTCAGCAGTAATCTACCGATCTACCGATTCTGCATACATTTCTACCGAATTTTAAGACTTCACGGTGAAAAACAAAAATAACATTAATTTTCATATCCATATCGTATCTTAGTGGCGGCTTGTCCTAAAGGGCACAAGGGCACGTGCCCACTTAATCACCTAGATAAACGGCGGAAATAAATTAGCACGTCAGTCAACGATTTAATTTTATTTTTACGTACATTTTCATTTATAACTGATAGTATCAAACTTTCCTTCCGCAGGCAAGTTAGACGTGTCATTCCTCCTTTCTGGCATTCCGCTCTTATCATCAAGTTCGTAATTGTATTACCTTACCGTCACATCCTTTGCTAAATTGCTATTAATACCCTGATATACGTTTGCATTTGCACTTTTGCAGTTTTACACTTGCATTCATACATATAACATAGGTACAAAAAATTGCCTTCAAAAATCAAAATTGAAACGAAAGCGAAACGGAAGCAAGAACTTCATCTCATCTTCCAAATCTTGCCGATTTTACAACTGCTTGTACCTACTTGAGTTTATTTATACGTTATAACTATTTAAACTTTAAAGTTTTCCTTGGGTACTTCACATAAAATAGTGACCGAATGTGAATACGGATCGGGTCTTCGGGTGCTGCAAATAAACTCGCTAATAACCCTATCGTTAATTACTTTACTAATTAGTGTCATCCGTGTCTGATCCGGTATCGTATTCGTATACACAGACATTTCGTCAAGCTGCATTTCTATTTGGTTTTACTTCTAATTCTGATTTTAAAAAAATGAGCAGTTCCGGAAGCGATTACGATTCCAGTGAAGATCGTGGTCATACCAGTGCCAGTGTTGGTAAAAAGCGGAAATACCAGCAAACATACAAAGAAGAATGGGAAAAAATTCCCGGCTTACAAGGATGGCTCAGTGTGAGCACAAAGGGAAATCTTTTTGGTTTCTGCAAATGTTGCTTCAAAGATATTAATATAAAAAGTGGGAAAGAGGCTCTACATAAACACAGCGTATCTAAATCTCATCAACAGAGCGCCAAAGGTTTAAAAAAGCAGCCTACGATCAATACATTTTTGGTTGCTGGCAAAAGTAGGAAGAAATTTGAAGATAGTGTTAAAGAAGGTAAATATATTGTCATTAAAATTATATACCAAATACAAATTAAATAAATTGTTGTCGTTTTTGTGCATAATTACTTATTTTTGATCTTGGGTTGTAGGCGAAATTCGACTGGCTGCTTTTGCAGCGGAACACAACATACCATTCAATTCAATGGATCACCTGATTAAGACAATTTCATCGGTTTGTCCCGATTCAGAGATCGCTAAGCAGATTTCCTGCGGCAGAACAAAATCAACTGCCATAGTCAAGAACGTTTTGGGCCGTGAAAGTTTCGACAGATTGTGTGCGTGTCTAAGGGTAACTAAATTTTCCCTCATCATTGATGAGTCAACAGACCACAGTTGTACAAAACATCTTGCGATGATAGCAAGGTTTTTTGACAACAATAAAATTGTTGATAAATTTTTGGCTCTAATCGAAGTTTCGGCAGCGGATGCAACTTCCCTATATAACCATATTACGAACTTTTTTGAATTAAATAATATTAGTTATAAAGACAATATGATAGGATTTGCTGCAGATGGCGCAAACGTTATGATGGGGGGAAATCACTCCGTAATGAAATTACTAAAAAATGACATCCCCAATTTATTTGTGATGAAGTGTATTTGTCATTCATTTCATTTGTGTGCTTCAAAGGCCTGTGAAAAAATACCTAGATTTGTAGAGGATCTCACTCGAGATGTATATAATTACTTTGGTTCAAGTCCAAAACGCTCTGCCGAATTAAAACAATTTCAAATGTTTTGTAACGTCAAAATGCACAAAATTCTACATCCTTCTCAGACGCGATGGCTGTCAGTTCATTTTGTGATAGTTCGAATTTTAGAACAATATGGCGCTTTGCAATTGTTTTTCACAGATGCGGTAAATCAAAATGATGTTATAGCTGCAGAAAACATTTTACAAAAATTAAGAGATCCGACAACAAAATTATTTTTGCAATTTTTAGAATTTGTCTTACCTTATTTTAATAATTTGAACAGAGAAATGCAATCAGAAAATCCCAAACTGCATCTTTTATACAAAAATATCACAACTATACTGAGAACCCTTTTTGATTGCTTTATAAAAAGAAACTATTTATTAGTTACTCCCCTGGAAGATGTAGATTTCAGAAATCCTAGAAACTATTTACCGATTGAGGAAGTTTATTTTGGTAGTAATGTGCATAAAACAATTCGCGAAATGGACTTTACTGATAACCAGTTGCAATTATTCCGTCTTCGTTGTTTAGAGTTTTATGTTGAAGGCTGTGGTCAAATTTGTCAAAGATTTAAATTAAAAGACAATCCGTTAAAAATGTTTAACTTTTTAGACCCTGTTGTAGTAAAATCTGGATCTCTTGCTTCCATTAATGACATACTTATGTTGTTTCCGAATATCGTAAATCCTGAGGACTTACAACGTATAGATAGTGAATGGAGGCTATTGAGAAACACAGAAGAAATTTCAAATTTTTCTAACGATGTCATGACCTTTTGGCTAGAAGTACAAACGCTAAAAAGAGGTGATGATACTTTAGTTTTTAAAAATCTGGTTAATTTTGTTTTTCAAATGTTGACCCTCCCACATTCGTCGGCTAATGTGGAACGTGTTTTTTCACTAATCCATATATTGAAAACTAAGCAACGAAATAAATTGTCCACGGAAACGATTTCTGGATTATTGCTTACAAAGGCGCTGATAGGTCGCGACGAATGTTATAGTTTTAATATAGACGGTAAGCTAATTTCTGGTATGACGAACTCAAACCTATACCAATAGGTACCTGTTTTCCATTTATCTATTATACTTACCTTATTACCTATTAAATACAGTTTTCTTGATTTTATAAAATGTGTGGATTTTTTACGTTTAGAAAGTTTGTTTTATTTCATTTTTTAGCAATTTTAAGTTATGTTTTGTTCTGTTTTTAAATAAAATTGATAAATTGGATATTTCCACCTTTTAATTAGTAATTGTGCATTATGTATTCCCGTTAAAACCAAATCTACTGAAATTCTTCGAAATCTACCGAAAAATGACGAAGCAGTCTACCGATATTAATTAGTCGGACCTGGCAACACTGGTCTGAACAAAGAAAAGCAACATATTTGTGAAACAGTATTAAAAAAGATTAGAAAAACAATTTCCCGTGTGACTTGTTGATCATATCCATTTGTGGCGTGCTTACTGCTGCAATCACGCAGGATATCAAAAATTGAATTGCAAATTAATATTTTACGTATGAATGCCATTAATGTAGGCGATGTAATCATTTTACAATAAAAACAGTTGGAATTAAATCGATTTTGTAAATGTACCGTAATTACTACTACATCCGGTTGAACGGAGAGGGAATACTTTCATTAGCGAGAACTACACAAAAATTTGTGTACAATGAATTGCAAGAAATGCTTGCAAGTATATTCTTTGCAATTGCTTTTTGCAAGTTCTGGTAGAAGTATCTCTGCACTTAGTAAAATGACACCACCAGTTTTTAATATCAAGTCACGATTGCTCGTCGTTACTGTTCAAGTTGGATACATCACCGTCTACGGCGCGACTGTAGCTGGAAATAATTCATTTTCCAAAAGTAATAGCGCACGACTTTATTTACAATAAAAGTTACTGTCTACACAAATATAACAATTCGAAATGACGATAAATACGTTTCGATTAATACGACTATAAAAATAACGCAATAATACTTGTAACTTTAATGTCTAAACAGAAATGTTCTCCTCATTCGAACTCGACTGACATATTTCACACACATAAAAGTTGGAAAAATTGTCAATTCAGGCAATAAAACCGAAAAGTTTTATAAGTTTCTTCTTTAACCGAAGATCGAGAATAACAACTACTGGCGCCGTGAAGCTGTAAACAAAGTGATCAATATCAGATACCTGCAATCCATAACTGGACGAAAACATAAAAGTTAGTTTGAAATTGTTCTCTTTCGTACTTACATTTCCATATTAGCTTGATAGATATGTTCAGATCGAATCAGAGGATTAAGTTGATTAATTTCTTACACTGGCAGACAGTTTTCGACACGTAATTTTACAAGAAGTATTGTTCGCACTTATTCATTATAATATATTTCAGATACCATAAACTATTCGTTCAAAAGAAGTTTATATCAATTAAGCACCACTTGATGACTGGAATATACGTAGCCGTATTATTATTATATGTTCACTGATGGATGTATGTACTATATAAATAATAAAATAAACCATACATTGTTTTGATGGATACTTTTAACGACGTGGATGTACATAATTTTTAAAACAAACATCTTAAATGCACACTTTCAATAATTTCTACAAAAATGAGATAAAAAATTACTGGAAACAAACATAGTGTAACCCACTACATTTAGCATACGCCCACTTTCCGCAAACAGTAGTTTTGGGGTACCTAATTTTTCCCTCACTGATGCCCCTTATTGACTAAGAGTAACGACCATCACCACTAATCAATCAACCAGCCAGCCGACATATGTACAAACAAATATTAAACCATATCATTTTAAAACAGGAGCCTCGCCCGTTCAGAACGACAAGGGAAAGAACAACGGGTTACCCGAATTATTTTAAGTAAAGGCTCAGTTCACATCCAAATCCTACGCAGTTCTCAGAACCACCATTGCCCACCCGAGGTGAAAGAACTACGTTATTAATTACGTAAGTATCTTTAGTGGTAAATAGGTATATTTTATCCAAAGGCCTATTCGGTATTCTCGAATATAACTTTTCCAAAATGTGGGGCCTCTGGAGCGTCCCCCTTTTAATTCTCTTGTAAGCGGTGTAGCTATGTATATCTGCTGAAGTCAAAATCTTCACCGAGCCAGTGGCGGCTCGTGACATTTGAAACTGCCGGTTCTGTTGTAACCAATATTGCGCATAATGATAATTGTAGGTATGTTTGCGTCCACTTCGTATCTCCCCCAAACAATACGCATGGAAAGCAAAAGAACGCATTTTTGACGGTACAACCGCAAATCCACTTAGTTCTTGAATAAATCTCCCGATTAAATTTTCGAACGTACTCTTTTCCTCTACTTTTTCCTTTGAATTCAATCGTCATATCCGGCAAAGGGTTTTATTCTCAGTTTTTCCTCCAGCGATAAACGCGAAAAATTTGCGAACTTCCTGGTAATGTCCTCCACATCCATTATTTATAAAAAGTAACGCTCACAGAAACAACAATAATCCCGAAAATAACCGCCAACGCAACATAGCAACCTGTTTCGGTACTGTCTTCGCTGCAGCTCCGTTATCCCCTTAAGCACGTGGTTAATTGACGTCATCTGCTAATCGTTGATTGGCCGAGAGGCCATAAAACTGAAAATTTCGGTACGCAGTCCCGTCTGGATGATTGGTTGCATAAAATAAGGCGCGTAGGGGAATAAATAGATAGGATAGCTACAGATATACTGTGGTGTGGGTACTGGGTTGTAAATTGAGTAAATTCACACGTATTTACTTCTTTCTTGTTCTTAAATTTTGCCGGTTCTGCAGCACTGCAGCTCTTTAATACAAACCGCCACTGCACTGAGCAGTAGTCGATTATAGACTAGTTCAAGGTCGCTGGCTACCTGGTGATGACCTTATAAAGTTTGACAGTGAAGCTCAAACGTTTCCCACCCCGCCTCGGGATCACTGGTCCCTCAGGGGGGACGTTGAGAAGTACGTCGCGTCGAGGTGAAGATCAAAGGTTGCTTACTAACGGCCCTCCTCTTGGTGGTGTGACCTTGGGAATTAGGTGAAAGTGAAGTTCAAAGGTTGTGCGCCAAGGTTACCTTTCTTCTGTAATGACGAACAAGTAGATCAATGTGAAGTTCAAAGGTCACATTACGTTTCCAAATTACACATTATGAATATATAAAGCGCATTTATTTATCAAAAAACAAAGACATTGGTCAAATACAACCAGTGAAAGTCCGCTGAATCCGAAAATGATAGTCTCCCTGGTCGGAAACTCCCGGAACTTATTGTTATAAAAAAAAGGGATAATATCGTTTTTTTCCTATTTGGCTTCAATTATTTCCTAACTATTGCTCTGTGGAAAAAATGAACGGATCATTTATTTTCAAATGCTATTGTTTTGTATGAAAAAAATATAAAAAATGTCATCCCGAAAATTAACAGAAACAAGTAAAATTCATCAAATCCTTTTGAAAATCCGTATCCCAAAGGGGTCTCGTACTTCAATATTTCCTCGTCAGTAATGTGTCCTTTTCCTTTTATTTAAATAATTATTCCAAGTTTACTGAAAATGCAGAAACCTTTGTCACTCCGAAATGTTTGATAAATTATCCCAAAAGTTGAAGCACAAAGCATCGCTACTGAGCGCAAGTTAAAAATTCAAAACATAAAGCCAGTCAATTTAAAATATAGGCGGCAGTTAGAAAGGGATAGCATATTGAACTTGATCTTGCACAAATCTGGCTGTGAAGGCGATGCTCACGATGCAATTTTTTTAGTCTAAAATGTCCGACTCAATCAGAGAAAAAAATTCTTTGGCATTTTATTATAGTCTCCATTGGCTAGTTTTTACGAAATCGATTTATTTTTCCTGCTTTTCTACCAAGACAATGGATTTTGGCGAGACGGAATTTTCCCTGGCATCGACGCTAAATTTACACGGCAACTTCAACTAAAAGTCAAAAGTATGGAAGCTATCGATAAACAGTGTGTTTTAGCTTTTGATGAAGTGGATATTAAGGAAAATCTTGGATGTTCGAAACCTGTCGATTTTATTGAAGGATTTGAAGACATGAAGACGAAGACTCGAGTAATTGCGAGAGGCGTTCGTATTTATAATATAAGATTTTTTCTCCTAATAGAAACTGCCATTATGATAATTAAAACAGATGTCATAATCTAAAAAGAAACGTTGTTAACCAAATAAGAAATCCTATGAAAATAACTTTACCTTGGAAAGATATCGACAATCCCCATCACGTAAATACGTTTAGATAAATAATATATAATTTTAGCTTGATGCCTCTGGAATTTTCCACTTCAGGTTTCAACATCTTTCGCAAAGTAGGTACCTTTCATTTTAACGGCAACGGCAAACATTATATCCCCAATCTCCATTTCTCCCAACTTACACTCCTCTAACACACTTAAAGCGCATTACTGAGGGTATATTCAACACAGTAACGGAATCTGAAGGAATCAAAAGTATAAGGAAAGTGATTTATTAACAAAACCGTTCTTATTCTTTGAACCGCCCCCTTGGAAGGGAAAGAGCAGTTAGTAAATGAGAATGAAATGGATAAATAAGACACATTCGTTCATCCTCAAAATAAATTCAGTAACTTGTCCGTTGAAAATCTAATAAAATATGAAAACTAAAACCACACCCACACACACACCGCCACCTGTCAGCAATCCAAAGACAAGCTCAGATGCGCCAAGTGCCGGAGAGCAATAGGCAAACACGCAGTGATTACGACGTGCGGCCACGTCCTTTGCAAAAAAATGCATTACAGAGGCACTGCGATCAACTAAAAGGTGCCCCGTTTATGGAAAAAACTTCTAAACTGCAACATTTACAACGCCAACTTTCTTTTTATCCTTTCGTCAACATGCAATGTCTTTTATAGGTGGCAGAGGGGTGAGGTTATGAAATCTTCCCTTTAGAAAGTATTCAGAGGGAACCCGTTTTTGAACGAGATGTAGATCTTGCACAGACATTTGCTTTATCCTGTTTGATATGTCAAAAATGCAAAGTGAATATTCCTTTTTTCTTCTGTGTTACGTTGAATCGACCACGACAATTTCAAATTCGAAGGAGCTGCTGAGGTACCTCTATTTTACGTCCATGCGTTGATCTGAAAACTAGTATGCGCCCAGTGGTATCTTGGTGAAATAGTAATAACGTGAATTGCGAAAGACAACAATCACTTTGTGTGAACCACTATTATATCAAAAAGTTTGAACATTTCTATAGAAAAGCGCCCTACATTAAACCCGGCCTAATTTTTCACGCATAATAAACCATTATCTATTTTCAAATTAATATTTCGTGAATGTAAATGACGGATACGCATAATTTGGGTTTTTTGTTGGATTATATATTACTTTAGAATGAAATTATTAAACGTTAACTAAATTTATATTTCCAAAGAATTACACGGATCGTTAGCAGCGATATAATTACAAATCCGCACAATTTCAATTCGCTGCGTTTTTATGTAGGTCGCACAAATTTTCAACCGGAGTTAATTACGTGGTTTAGCTTACACCATAATTGCTGCATTTCGTGTAATTATGTGATCGTTGCGAACTACCATATTGAATTCAACGTGCAGTTTGGTTTTGATTGTGTAGTTATACTGCAAGTTTGCGCCTTTGCTGTTGTCCTCGTATAATAGAAACAAACGATGCGTGACGCTAGTCCAGTATAAAGTTTTGGAATTGTACGAAATTGTGCATAAATCGATACAAAAATTCAACTGAATTTATTCCTTATTTAAATACAGTCTCATTAGCTTGGTCGAATGAATCTTGTTGAATCACCCAATAAAATTTTCACAACTTGCTTGTAAACGCCGCGGAAATTTGCTTAGAAAAATGTTAAACGCGTTTTCTCTTTTTCGGTTTAGATATAAATTTTTTTGTTTTATTTCGCGACAATGGTCCGTGAGAAGCGGTCGTTCACAGGAACACGACCTTGAACATCTACGAACGGAGTGGCTGGTCCTTAAAAAAATTGATTCAAACTAGCAAACGAAGAAGTTATTCGCGCCGATTTCCCCAGTTTGTATTGTGTGTTGCTTATCGGCGAGTTTGGCGATAGCGCGTATATTATTTGATTGGTGACACTTTTTCATTAAAATCATGACTTTTCTGGAATCACCACACTGCAACCAATCTTCCACGCAGCTTCCAATTCAATGTTTGCGTTGTTTTCACTTTCACTCATTATTTATGCGAAGGAATAATTAGTTTTCTTGAAGCAAATAAAGACAAAACCAGCAAAAATTTAATATGGCGATACTTGTTTAACAACAAAATTGTATATCCATAGCAACGAATGTATCAAAGGCAACTTTTTAAAAACTATAGTGCAATTATTTTATTTCACTAATTTTATTATTTAAAACAATGCAAATTAATGTCCTTGTGCAAAAAACGTCATACGCACTACGAGTGTTAGTTGCGTCCGATTTCAGACAAAATGAGAAGGTCGGGTTGCGCCCTCGGTTCGGTCACATTT